CAACCTACGGAAAGGCTCGGTCCCAAGACCTTCATGAATTTGTCCCTCTACCACTTCTGCCCCGACCTCCCTCTGATGGCCATCATTGGCAGCCAGAGCTCTTCGGTCGGCCGTGTTAGTTGAGTTTGCTGGTTGAACCATCTTTGTCCGCATTTCTTAGATCGGGATGACTTAGACTGTCCGTTTCCCACATATGGCGCCAAATGTTTATGCAAAGAATTGCACTACACTGCTTAACGAACCAAGCTCGAACCCGATCCCTGACTCGACCTCAACTAACGAGCGAACCTGCACAGGAGGATAAGCATTCCGAAGCTCAAGTTAGTATAGGTCAGATTCAATATTTAGTTCGAGGAGAGATTCGATACCTGAGCGTGAAATGATGCCCTCTATTTATAGGTGGCGGGTCCGACAGTACTCACGACCGGCGGTTACCTTTGTCATTTTTACACTTACCCCCACGATGGGCGAACCCAGTCTCCTCGGCAGGTTCGAGGTGGACCTGGGATACTTTATTCCTTGAATACCAATGAGCGTCCTCCACGTGTCCCAAGTATTTTTACCCCCAAACAAACTGACTTGAGCGTTTGAGGTCATTAGACGGGACACTGCATCAGCGTCGAGTTTTCTGGTTGTAGGTTCATTTGTTCTTTAGTGAAGTGTCCCATTCAAAGGACATGTGGACCTCTCCGAAATTCGTCGTCAACAGTTGGCGCCGTCTGTGTAGACGATGTTTTCAAGCCAGACGAAAACTATTTCGCCATACTAAAACACTTTCGGAATGTATTATGTCAAAGAATCGTCGCATGAACAGTCTGTTGACGAGGAGCATCAACGTGACAAGCCGGTTGACAAAGCTGCCTCGACTCCTCAAAAGGTCAGGGGAGCTCGGGACGCTGTCAACACCCTTCGTCCTTTGGGCGACCTCAGCAAGCAGAAAGTGGGGCACCCCCACCGTAAAACCTTCGGGTTTTGGTAAGAAATGCGGGCCAACAATACCCACATGACCTCAAAAATTGGAAGGTTAACTAATGTCTTCCAGACTGACTGGACCCGGGGTACTCTCCATCTTTCGAACAAAACACGGTCGAAGGAAAAGTGGCCGAGGGGGAGCTCCAACCCTGTCAAGAGAGGTATTCACAAATGTCGACCCCCTTGCAACGTCAGACTCCCAGAGGACTTCCGTGACCTCCGGGACAAGCTTAACAAACGTCGGCCTAGCTGTGGAGCGATTGGCTCCAACGTAAAGTCTCAGACCAGCACTTAGACGTCCAGTCACCCGAGTGGATCCCTCGTGGGGATCGACTTAGAGGAGCTGTGACTGGGTGTTTATGCTGAACGCACGCGCTAAGCGTGGTAACAATTATATAGATGCAAGCGCACACCTGTCAGAGTAATATAAAATGGATGGAGTATCCAAGTATCGATCCTCAAGGACTTCTAAACAATTTCCAAACTCTAAAGTTTTAAAGAATAGTGAATGTTGGAATGAGTGATTCTTGTAAAATGGGAAGTGGTCACAAATAATGGTTTGGATTTGGGATTTGGACTTAGAATGATAAAACCTAGCCCGAACTACTTCAAGTTAGCCAACAAAGAATCAAGGACATGCTAAGGACAATATGCATTTTACTTTAGAAACCAACGACTACGCTTCTCACTTGACTTATGTCTAAGCAAGTTCAAAGTCCTAAGACATTCCCTAATATGTCTATTATGAGA